AACTCCATAAATATACTAAAAAAAACATTGAACTGCACTCTCTTTTTTTTAAAAAAAAAAAAAAAGAAAGAAATTTTTGTTATAGGGTGTGTGTGCTTGCCAGAGAGACAGAAAGCAAGAAATCACCCCCTGGGGGATGGCCACATTGCAATCCCTTCTCCTCTGTTCTCCTCTCAGGATTTTGGGGATGCACGCACATGTGCCCAGTGTGAGTAGTAAGCCACTGGGTCCAGGGCTTGAACCACAGTCAGCCATGTAGGAGTCCAGCAATGTATTCATTATGCCATCTGCTGGTCTCTGGACTGTGGACTTTAAATGGTTGAATTGTATGATGTATGAATAAATTATATCTCAGTAAATCTCTTTTTATATAAAAAGCATTTTCTTAAAGGACCTGTTCCCATAATTTTCAGAACAGCACTGTCCAATAAAAAAAATTTCTGTGATGATGGAAATGTTCTGTAGCTGCACTGCCCAATATGTTAGTAACCAGCTACTCACAGCTGTAGAGCTCGTGCTACTGTGGACTTAATTTTATTTTATTTTAATTAATCAAAACTCAAATAGCCGTATGTTGGAAGTGATTATCATTTGGTCAGCTCAACTCTAGAGTTTAAACAGAAATTTAGTTTCTACTCAAAGTTTATCTTCCACTTTTCTTTTTTTTTTTTTTACTAAATTAGTTCCAAAAGAAAAGATGATTTGCTTTTTTTCCCCCTGAATGGTGGCTACAGAAACACCTTTCAGATGAAGAGCTTCTTTATCTCTCCATTTTTGCCACATCCTGATTGACCTACAAGCTGGCCTCTACAGCATAATGGCTGATTTTCTGACACCCCTCTGCGGCCCTACTGTGTCAAATGGATTACTAGTCAGGTGGTCTCTGCATACATGAGAACTCTAGAAATTTGACTCATCTCAGATTAACTATCCAATATAGGAGCAAATGCAACTCACACAAAGGCTACCTTTAGCACTCTGTGATCACGTGTCACAAAACTCCAGCTTCTCACATCAAGAATATTCCATATTGGAGGGTATAAAAGCAGTGAAAATAGCTATGGATACTGAAGACATTGTGGAATGGGGCAGGAGTACAAGGGGAGAGTATAGAGAAGGATAGCAAGAGAACAAAGAGAGACGTGACATGAAATGGTTTATTACCTGTTGATGATAACGTGTATAGTATTCTCAACTGGACTGGTCTGAGAAGTATTTCATGTTGGGTAAATTCTTTATATAAGCCAAATGATATATAGTGATTGGATGTTTAAAAAATAATGAGAATATGGGGCCAGCAGGTGGCATGGTGGTTAAGTCCCAGACCTGTGGCTTGCTTTCTCGCTTTCTCTCTCTCTCTTTGTCTCTCTGGTCAAATTAAAATAAATGAATTAATGAGTAAAATTAAATAAATAATTCTTTTAGAAAAAATAAATAATGAGAATAAATAATAATAATCTGAAAAAATGATGAAAATTTATTTGATGATGATGTGGATGGAAATGTCTTTGTCTTGACTGATATGCAAGGTAATTGTGCTGGGAAAAAAATGTAATAGACTATAGAGATATATGTGATTCAATGTAATATAAACAAGAGTATGAGAATAAATAAAATTAAATTTAAAAAAAAAAGAATGCTCCGAAACACCTCACACTCTTCCCTCCAGCAAAGCTCGCCCTACTCCTTTTGGCACATGATGTTTGCGTGTGTGCACATGTTATAAGAGAGACCCTGAGACAACTACTCTAGCCTTGTCTTTATCCCAGATCTATCAACCTACCCATGATGCAGCCATCACATAGCCAATAGCCACCACCGGTAAGAGAAAGGAGCATGTTATAGACCCGATCTTTGTGTCTCCTCAAAATTCATCTGCTAAGCCTTAATCCCCAACATATCACTAGAAGGTTTGGCCTTTGAGTATTAAGGTTTAGATGAGGTCATGAAGGTGGAGCCCTCATTATGGCATTGGTATCCTTAAAAGAAGAGAAAAAAGAACTCTTTCTGTCAGCCATGTGAGGAGACAAGGAGAAGGCAACACTCTGCAAGTCAGGAAGAGAGCCCTCACCCGGAACTGAGTCAGCCGGCACCTTGATCTCAGACTTGCCAGCTTACAGAGTGTAAGAAATAAATGTCTGTTATTTAAATCACCCATGGTATTTTGTCATGGCAGCCTGAGTTGACCAAAAGCACCAAGAAACTGAATCTCACTTACAGCTTAAGCCCTAGGCTCTCTCATTTATGCTTTGTTCTTTACCTCCTGCTCCAATCTGAAACTACTGTATTCAGCTCTTGATCTTGGTCTTCATCACTTCTCACTGGTCCTGTTATCACCTCTAGGACTTTATGACAGATTTGGTTTCTCCTTCTCCACCTTTGGTATTCTTCTCCAGGCACAGTTGTTTTCCACACTCTGACTCCATCCAATTAGAGTATCTATGAGTATCCTGCTTGATATCACCTTAATCTCTCCCCAGCAATGACCCTCACACTTAGGAGGCTGATGACTCATCTGGAACCTCAAGAGGACTCAATTTTAGTTATACAATTGTTTCAAGGGCTAAGTCTCTTTTTCCAGGAAGAATGCAATGAATTTCTCACTAATTGAAGGACGATTATACTTAAGTGTTTGATAACCAAGAAGAATCATTGCCTTGACTCATAAATGTGAGACTTATACAGTCTGGAGAACCTTGTGACCGCTTTAAAGTGACCTCCACAGGTTTAAAACCTCTGCATCAATGCCTGTCTTTCATATTCTGGCTTGCTTTACTTAGCATTAAATCTTCCATGTTCGTCCACTTTGTATCAAATCTCAGGGTCTCATTGTTCTTTATGGTTGAGTAGTATTCCATTGTGTATTTGTGCCATAGTTTTTCAATATATTCATCTGTTCTTGAACGTTTGGACTGATTCCATGTCTTAGCAATTGCGAATAATACTATAATAAAGATCGCATGTCCCTGTTTAATAAATACTGAATATCTGCACTCTATGGCAGAAACTGAAAGACTGGAAGGTATAATAGCAGGGAGGGCAACTGAAGAAAACTGCTCTTGGGTTGTTGGAAAAGTCATGACATATTTTTCTATGCTTTTCTATGCAAAAATGTGTCATGACTTTTCCAACCATCCAATAGAAACAGTATAGGAGGAAGTGGGTAATGGGATGGGAGGGAGGGGAACAGGGGAATAAAAAAGAAACAAAAATGAAAAGTTGTCTGTTGATAATAATGTGATAATATCTGTGATTTGACTAATATGCACTGTGTTCATGATGGGGAAAACATTTTTGTATGCTGTAAGATGTACAGTGATTAAATGTAAATTAAAAATATATTAAAAAATAAAATAAGATCTTTGCATCTATCATCATTTTCACTGACCAATGACATTTCACGCAAAAGCCATCCAAACTTTCCAGTACTGCATCCTCTTCCACTTTTTATTCCATGACTACACCAGACTCCTTGTATCCCTCTATTCCAAGATCACTCTATTCCATACCTCATGCTCTCTCACATGAAAACTCAACTCGAGTTTGTATCGTATACACCACCACCATACAGGTGTTCGAAGTTTTATAATTTCAAGTTGCATTAATTTACTAAATCAGAATGTATGCTCTAAGTGTCCAACCTGTGTGTCAAGGTTTGAGTTGATAATTTTGGATTTAAAAAAATAGAGAAAACACAGTTTCTTGTCTTTGAGGAAACGGGAAAAATAAATCAACATCTTAGCAGGAAGGCAAGGCCAGGTGACAGAGTTGCCACTGTGCTCCATAGGCCCCATTTCAACCTTTATTATAAGAAACATGGTTTCCCATGAAGCACTGCACACAGCAAGAAGAAAGTCAGTGTTTGCTGTTGATAGTGATGATGATTTGGTATTTTTCCAGAAGATTAGCTCTCAAATCTGAGGATTGTTCAAATTAAAGCAGGTCAGTTTCATCAGGAATTGTCACTCATTGGTATTTATGACCTTACAGCTAAAGACTGATGTGCTAAGTGAGAAATGTTATCAACTGAATTTACTTAAGATAGACAAGACCGTAGTTTTCCAAGACAAGATTCTCCTTAAGTCTCAGAGTTACCAGCTGCTTCAGTAAATTGTCTCAACCATCTATTTACTGTAAAATACAAACACATACTCTATCTGCATTACCTTCACAGAGTCTAGGAAAGGTCTGGGCCCTTCCAGAACATATGCCTGTCTGTCATTGTGAATCAGTTACCAGATTTTGGCACACCTTAGTTTCCCTATCTACATTCTATGACCATGGCTATATACATATAATGGAGACAGAAAGGTGATACTGTAATGCTCCTGGGATCCTTAGATAAAGCATTATGCTTGAGAGGAAACAGCCGAAAGAAAATCCAGATCTTCTGTTAGGTATGCATTAACTTCTGAATGGCACTTCTGAGTTACACTGAGAAATGTCAAAGGCAGTAGTCCAAGCTACTGTCTGATCAAGGCCAGTTCTCCATCAAGCATGCGTAAAACTCAGTGAAAGGATTTATGTGCTGAAGCTCCAGTTTGTCCTAGAGGCACATTGACCGAAAGGAAGCCATTGAGAGATAGTCTAGCACATCTTCTCTGGTAGTACTTTTCAAATGGCTTATTATTATTATTATTATTATTATTATTATTATTATTATTATTATTATTATTATTATTATTATTATGAGAGATCTTTACTATAGGGCACGTGTGCTCACTGGAGAGACAGAGAGATAGAAAACAAGAAATCACTCCCCTGGTGGGGTGGCCACATGGCAATCCCTTCTTCTCCATTCTCCACTCGGGATTTTGGGCACAGACGCACATGCACCCATCATGAGTTTTAAGCTCTTGGGTCCAGGACTTGAACTGCAGTCGACTATGTGGGAGTCCAGCAACATAACCATTATGCCATTTGCTGGCCCATCAAATAGTTTATTTCTATAACCCACTACAAATGAGACATTGGGAAAGATAATGAAAAAAGTTTCTTACCTGAGAGAAAGATAAAACTTGACATAAGAATCAATCCATAAAGCCTCTGATATATGACGTGTTCTTCCATTTTCTAAACCTGAGTTCAAACAGTCAGAAATGAAGCCAGGTCAAATTCAGAACAATTTAACTTCTTAGCATATGTGACCATACTTCTTTGTGTCCTACCTATATTTTGTTCCAATTGGTTAAAACCAGGTAGGTGCTTACCTGAGTTATCTGGGTGAAAACCTCACTGATTGATTTGTCTATGTATTGGCTCAATACATTTCATTGAATCCCTACTATGTGCCAGGTACTGTGTTACCCAATGAGAATACAGTACTGAGAAGATAAGATGGAACGACAGACATCAAATGCATAGTTACATAGTGTGATGCATTCGAGGTTAATATACACAACGTCAACCCAATTACGGTGCTTGTGGTCATTGTCTATTTTAAATAAAAAGTGTAAGATTACATGTTTATTATATGCAAGTACTTTGGAATTTGATGGTGCCAAGGACAGCATGGTACCATTACTCCAATGTGTTCATCAGGATCTGATATTCCCATATCATGTCTTTTAATCCCTCATTTTCCTTTTATTATTCTATAGAAAAAAATATTTCTTCTTCGCTGGTGTGTATCTTTCAGAAATCCTACTGCAGTGTGTGTAATTCTAATGATCCTAGAATTTTTGAAGGAAGGCTATGCAAGAAAACCTTATTGACAAAAGTGACTCATCGAAATGTTCTAATTTTTTAAAGCAGATCTGTTTAGAGAAACCTGACCAGAAAGTCATTACATTCACCCAGCTTCTCTCCTTAATTAATTGCAACTAAGGCTTCTTATTTGGAAAACACAGTGAAAGCACCCCTATTCTCAAGCCAAAATGGAGTTCAAGCCACCAATAATACAGAATATTGGCAGTAGGGTGCTGATGAGCATTTTCCGATTTTAAATAAAATACACTTCCAAATGATTTATTACTGATTTGAATGTTTCCCTTCCTGTAGGAAAATGCAACATGTTGTATTTCTTTCCACTTCTAGGAGGGATTTGGAGTGAATAGATTCACTTTACATTCAACGTAATAGAAGCCAATGAAGAAATCTAATGAATTTTGGGCTTGCTCTGAGCATCAGCCATTGATCAGGATCTTATTTACCAAGTGTTCTTCTGCATTCTCATTAGAATAATCAGGAAATTTGTATGGCTTGGATGGATTTTCTGAACTATGGGCTTAGAAGTGTGTGTGGGGGGGAGCTCTAAATCTTTTATCATTTGCAAGATGAAATATAGCTTAAATTTATAGTGCTGTAAGAGGACTAGACTAAGAATCAGTAACTAGCTGTGAGAGAGCCACTATTCAAAAGCAAAAGGGGAGTCAAAGCCACAAATAATACAGAATATTGGCAGTAGGGTGCTGATGAGCATTTTCCGATTTTAAATAAAATACACTTCCAAATGATTTATTACTGATTTGAATGTTTCCCTTCCTGTAGGAAAATGCAACATGTTGTATTTCTTTCCACTTCTAGGAGGGATTTGGAGTGAATAGATTCACTTTACATTCAACGTAATAGAAGCCAATGAAGAAATCTAATGAATTTTGGGCTTGCTCTGAGCATCAGCCATTGATCAGGATCTTATTTACCAAGTGTTCTTCTGCATTCTCATTAGAATAATCAGGAAATTTGTATGGCTTGGATGGATTTTCTGAACTATGGGCTTAGAAGTGTGTGTGGGGGGGAGCTCTAAATCTTTTATCATTTGCAAGATGAAATATAGCATAAATTTATAGTGCTGTAAGAGGACTAGACTAAGAATCAGTAACTAGCTGTGAGACTTATTTCTGTTCCTTCATTTCCCTGGGCCTCAGTTTCCTTATCTGTGAAAATGAAGATAATGATCTGCCTATTTCCTAGAGCTGCTCTAGAAGAGGATCAAATGAGATGATATTTCAAAGGCAATTTTCAAAATATAAAGTACTATGGAAAAGGATATGATCCCTATCTATAAAATAGAATTTTCAGCAGAAAAAAATCCAATTTATATCTTTCTTTCATTTCCTCTAAACTTTTATAACAATTCCAAGGTATGTTTTAGAAACTTACCTGGCACCCAATAAATAAATCATAGGACATTCGCACAACAGAATACTATGCAGCCATTAAAAGGAATAAGGTAAGTGTATATGTCAGGCATGAGAGAGTGGGTTTAGGAAGGGGAATGAGACTTGAGGACTTTTCCTTTAGGTAGTGTACAATTCCGTACTGCCTGATTCTTTTACAATTATTATACAAGACTTATATAGGTTTTTTTTAATTGAAGGAAAAGAGAGAAGGAGAAAGGAAGGGAGGGAAGACACAGGGAGGAAGAAGGAAAAGATAGGAAGAAATAATAAGAATTACATAGGTTTTCTTCATACCTTCTATGATTCTGCACTGTTTAATCATTTACATGAGCATGCATTACTTTTATATTGGATGAGGGAGTGAAAGAAAGAAGGAATGGAGGAAAGGAAGAAAAAGAAGGAAATAGTGAAGATTAAAGACTTATTTTATGCGCCATACAATTACAAGTGATTTGATTGTTTTATGACAAGTATTTGCTACTTTAATAGCTTAAGAGACAAGAAATTTTAAAGAGAGAAGGACAGACGAAAGGAAGAAAATGAAGGAAGGAAGGAGAGAGAGGGAGGGAAGGAGGAAAAGAAGGCATGAGAGGAAGAAGGGAGAGAGAGACTCACCTGAGAACTGGGCTCCTTTAATTTCTCATGCCCTGTGTCACTGTGGGGTCCAAAAGAAAAGCTTGCTTTATGAATGACCAGATATGATCTCTAAATCCCTACATTTGATTTGCAATGAAACTAGCAGAAAACAGAAGGCTCATTGTCTGCTGGCTATGCCTCAGTTACCTTCTTTTCTGCATCAAACTAGCCTCTCTACCCTTAGCTTTATGGGGCTTATTGACCCAGGCAGTTCCTCTTTTTGTGGCTGGCAGCACGTTATAGGGCTGCTCTCCCAAGCATGAAATCCGCATGAGCAAAGTTCTCAGGTTAGTACTTATCTGCAATAATCCATTAATTTGAGGGCTCATTCCCAGTTTTCACTGAGGATTATCTTTGGCTTCTAGTTGGTGATTGCTTTAATTAAATTGAGTATATTAAATGGGTACTTGCTCACTTAACTAAGGCTCATTTCACTTTATTGAGAAAATGGGGAGGGTGCAGGGTGGTGAAGGCAATGGGCAGGAGGCAAAGGGCACACAGGTATTAGCATATTCCCATTTCCCATGGTTGGCAAGATGGAGCCCATTGCTCACTTCACTGGAGACCCATTCTTTAAATTGCCTTGAAACTAGACTTACTGAATGGTTTTTGTGTCATTCTTAGGGGGTTGGGGGATGCAGTTTTTCTACAGGAAGGTGTCATTGCAGTTCCTTTGGGATAGTGGAAATGTCACTAGAACCTATAGAGCATCCAGATCTGATCTCCATCAGCTCCTACACTTCACAGATGAGGGCTTCAGGGTGGAATGACTTGCCCAAAGTCACCGAACTTTGGAAAGGCAGCTCAGGAACTAGAACTCTTAACTCCTGGATCAAAGTATTTTCCTGTCCTTTAGGTGGACAAATTCAGTCCAATAGGAGACTGAGTCAACCAATCTGTAGGCCAGGATTGCCCTCAGGGGAAGAGGAAAGGAGGAGGTATCTCAAAGTCACCATTCTGCACTCTCAAACCCAGAAGCTGTGATTGGTATGCTGGATAAGAGCCCACATTTTGCAGAAAGATAGACTTGAGTTTAAATCTCAGCTGTGTGACTTAGGGCTAGTTCCATAACATCTCTGGAGCTCCTAGTGTCCTCTTCATAAAACACAGATAATGGAACTCACTTCATATAGTTTTGCTTGGCCCAGAGCCCGGCATAAAGTACCAGTGCCACTGCTCCTTTCCAGCACGCCACAGCTTCTCCTCAACACAAGGCACAGGCTTAGGCCTTGTGACCCCTCCCCCCACAACTTATGACGAGTTGTGAAGCACTGCCAAGAAGCATTGTGGTACTCGTTTATGTTTCACATCACACCTGCTCACTTGTCTGTCTTCCCTGACAGCACTAAGCTCTGGAAGGGCAGGAACTCCATGTTATTCAGTGGTTCACGTGTTACCTGGCACACAGAGGGTGCTCAATCAATATTTGATAAATGAGATGTACTAGAGCGTAAGCTTCTTGAGGACAGAGAAACACATCTCTATTCTTTGCGCTTTCCCCTAGGAATTAGCACAGTGTCTGATGCTTAGTAGGTGTTTAATGAACGCTTATTAAATAAAAGAAGAGAATCTATTCACGTATACTTGGCTATGTCAAAACAATTCTCTGGAAGGAGATCCTAGTGAGAATAGTCGCTTATAGAGAGGGAGTCTGAGGGTATGAGGGAAACTCACTTTCCACTGCATATATTTTTATACTGTTAGAATTTTTGTCAATCTGCGTTTCATTTTCAAAGCAAAGCATGTTTGTTTTGTTAAAAATCTAATGTGGCGGGTCCAGTAGGAGGCATGGTGGTTGAATCACTGAATTCCCACATGGTCAACTGCGATTTGAGTCCTGGATCTGGCAGTTTGGTTTCTCACTCTCTCTCTCTCTCTCTCTCATGAGCATGCATACACTGTAGCAAATTATAAAATGATAGTAATAATAAATAAAATTAAATAAATAATTATTTTGTAAAAGTCTAATGTGACACAAATGAAATAATTGACTCAAAAATGAAACTTGTGGGAACCAAATCCCATATGGTCAATTGCATGCGAGTCCTGGCCCCAGCAGCTAGAGGAACACTCTGGGCATGTGTGTGAGTGTCCAAAGTCCTAACGGGGTGGAGAAATGGAGGAGGAGGGATTGCAGTGTGGCCATGCCCCATTGGGCTTTCTCCCTCTCTGGAGAATGCATGTACTCTCTGGCAAAAAAGAAAATGCAACTTGTGCAAGAAACTGAGTAGGTTGGGATTCTTTTATCAGGGAAAAAAGTCCCACCTGAGAGGGTTGCATTGGGTTATTTTCCATTCTCTGGGAGGTTATAAGCAAAAGGTTGACCATCTGTTTTCTCCATATCTATAGAGTAATAGGAAATGAACTGATACTGTAATGGGAGATATGAGTTAGACATAAATAAGTCATTACTGGTGATAGGAGTTGATAAACACCAGAAAAGGCTATTACAAGATGTTACAACACATCCATCCCTGGCTACTCAAAGGCCTAGAAGCCATATGGCTCTGCCGATTTACGTGTCCACACAGAGAGGGCTGAGCTGAATGATTTGTAACTATCCCTGTTTCTGACACTAGAAGAAGAAGAAAAAAAAAAAACTCTTACTCTATTGATGATCCAGCCTGGTGTGAGAGTCTCACCAGGCCAATTAGGAATGTGGTGATTGCCATATAACATAACCCCCAGCCCAAGTCAGCTATTGAATTCTGGGCTCCACCATTGGGACAGTGAAAGAGTATGATGCTGGAGGAGCTGTCATGTGTGCTGGAGACTTTCTAAGATATTTTGAAAGACCATCTTTTAATTACATTTCATTGTCATTAAACACTATCGTGCAACTGATTCCCTGTTCATTGTTATTCTTACACATATCATCATACTTTTCCTATATATGAGGCATCCCTTAACAACGTAGTGTTTTGTATAATAATACATGTTTTTAAACATCATGTAAGTTGGCCTACTCTTAAACATGACATAAAATGTATCATACCTGGCCAGCCGATGGCCTGGTTCTTAAGGTGGCTAGATCCCACAAGGTCAACTGTGAGGCTAGAGTTCTGGACTTGGTGGCTTGAAATATATGCAGGGCATCTGTGCATGCATGCCCAAAATCCTGAAAGGAGAGAGAAATGGAGAAGATATTGCAGCATGACCATGCCCCATGGGAGTGCTTTCTCGCTCCCCCCTCCTCCCCGTCTCCCTGTCTCTCTCCTGTGAGTGTACACACTCTCTAACAAATAAATAAATAATTTTTAAAATATTTATCATGCCACAAGAGGCTGTGCAACATAGGAGTTCATAAAATAGACCCTGAAGCCGGACTACATGGGTTCCTTAATGTCTCACTCACTGCCTCAATGATAATGGTATCCACCTCTCGTGTTTCAGTGGTATGAGATAGTTTATGTGAATCATTGCCTAATACATAATAAATACTTTATTAGTAATCATTATTAGTATTATTATCCATTATTCTGCAATTTATTTTCAGCCCCACTAGTATTCACTTAGTCAATAAACATGAGTGCCACTATGTGCAAGACATAAATCTAAGATGCTAGGGATCAGCAATGAACAAGAAAAAAAAAATAGATGACTCTCTAATCCCTCATAAACTTTATGTTGTAATGGGAGCAGACAGGCGATAAACAAGAGAAGCAAGTAAAGCATGTAACAGAAGGTTACAAATGCCATGGAGAAAAACAAAGTGGGAAAGGGATATAAGGATTTCTGGAGGGAGGGTGGAGAATGCAATTTTAAATAGGGTTATCAGGAACCGTCTAACTGATAAAGTGGCATTTGTACAGAGACTTGCAGGAAAGGAGGGAGGGAGCCATGGGGATACCTGAAGAGTGTCCTGGGTATGAGGAAATGCTCTGAGCACTTGAGGACGCTTGAAGCTTTTCTAGAAGCAGTACCAAGTTCCATGTGCCAGGGCCAGAGCGAACTAAGAAGACAGGGAGAGAGGAGGTAGGAGAGAGAACAGAGCACCAAATCACACAGGGCCTTGTGGGTCGCTCTATGGCGTTTGGTTACACTCTGGAGAAATGGGGAGCCATGGCAGGGTTTTGTTTTTTATTTCTTTTATACATTCAATTTATACATTCAATCACTATACATCCTTTAGCTTGCAAAGTGAATTCTCCCAATATGAATACACTTCACACCAATCCAGTTGAGGATACTATACACATTATCATCAACAGACTGTAACCCATTTCTGTGTCCCATAAATGTCTTGTCTCTCTATTTTTCTCTTTATTATCTTTCCTCATACTCTCCCCTTTCTCCTACCCTCCTCCCACACTGAATCAAGTACCCGTCACCATTTCCCATGCTTCTATATCCTCTAATCTTTCAAAAACATTTTATTTCAAAGTAATATTAAATGTAGAGAAAGATTGTAAGAATGGTACAAAGAAGTTTCACACATCCTTAATCCAGATTCTCCAGTTATTAACATTTTGCTACATTTACCTTCTCGCTCTTTCCAAATATTTTTGAAGCATTTGAGGGTAAATTGGAGACATCATGTCCCTTCAGTGCAAATACTTCAGCAGGCATTTTCCTAAGAACTAGAAAAATTTCTTACATAACTACAGTACAATTATCCAAATGAGATTTACATTGATGGGCTACTATTTCATATATAGTCCATGTTTGTATTTACCCAACTGTCTCATTGATGTCCTTTATTGCATTTTCTACCTCTGATCCAGGATCCAATCTAGGATCACACATGGCTTTCAATTGTCATGATCTTTCAGTCTCCTTTAATCTGGAAATGTTCTGAAGCCTTTCTTTGACTTTGATGACATTGAAGAGTGCAAGCCTGCTATTTTATAAACTGTATCTCAATATGAGTTTGTCTAATCTTTCCTCATGGCTCAAGTTACACATTTTTGACAGGAACAGTGCAGATGTGACATCGTATCCTTCTTTGTACATCACATCAGGACACATAAAGGCAGAGGGCTGCTCAGAGAACCCTGAGGATATGGGTAGACCAGACTTCAAAGGCACCTGGGGCACAGATAAGAGAGAGGCTGCCTTGGCTAACTAGAAGACATAATTTAACTGAATTTTGAGATTTTTATAAAAACATGCCCCTTCTAGGCCAGCCAGGTGGTGTGGTGGTTAAGGCATATGGATCCCACCTGTCCAACTGTGGAGTTTGAGTCCCAGATCTACCAGCTTGAAAAATACACCAGGTATATGTACACGTATGCCAAAAATTCTTTTTCTTTTTCTTTTTTTTTTTTTTGGAGAGGTTTTTGCTATAGGGCACATGCGCTCGCCAGACAGAGAGAGACAGAGAGACAGAAAGCGAGAAATCACCCCCCAGGGGGGATGGTCACGCCACAATCCCTTCTCCTCCATTCTCCTCTCGGGATCCTGAGCACGTACGCACATGCACCTGGCGTGAGTTTTAAGCCACTGGGTCCAGGACGCAAACTGTGGTTGACTACATGGGAGTCCAGCGACATAGTCGTTACGCTAACTGCTGGTCCCATGCCAAAAATTCTGAGAGGAGAAAGAAGGAGAGGGGATGGTGGTGTGGTCATTCCTCCTGGGAGGTGCCTTCCCTTCTCTCTCTCTCTCTCCTCTCTCCATCTCTATCTCTGATAAGTGCTCATGCCTTATAGCAAATTTTTAAAAAAGAAGAAATTTTTTTTAATTTCATGTTCTTTTATACATTTAATCGTGTTATTTAGTTTACAAAGTGACTATTCCAACATGTGTACGTTTCTTCCTAGTCCAGTTGATAATACTCTAAAATTATCTTCAACAGATAATAACACATTTCTTTGTCCCATTAATGCTTTGCATCTCTGTTTTTCTTCTAAATGTTCTTCCTTAGGACTCTTTCACCCACACTGTATCTGGTAGTCACAACTATTTACTGTGTTTCTATATCCTTTAGTCAATCAGTTTCAGTCATAAAGTGCGGACACTCGGTATACATCAAGTAGAGACATACAATGTCTCTCCTTCATAGCCTGGCTTGCTTCACTCAGCAGTAAATCTTCCATATTTATCCATTTCCTCTCAAAAGCCAGGGTCTTGTTGGTTTTTTTTATAGCTAAATAGTATTCCATAGAGTATATGTGCCAGTTTTTCAATCGATTCATCTGTTCGTGGGTATTTGAGTTGGTTCCATGTCTTAGCAATTGTGAATAGTACTGCAATAAACATCAATGTGCAAATTCCCATTAAGAATTTTTCTGTCCTTTGGGTAGATACCAAGGAGTGAGATTGCTGGATCCTATGGTAGCTCTATTTGTAGATCTTGGAGGAATCTCCAAAAGCCTCTTTTGTCTGAAATCAGTATCACAACTTCAGCCTCTTTTTTTTTTCATTTGCATAGAATATTTTTTCCAATCCTTCACTTTTAGTCTATGTATGTCTTTATCCATGAGGTGGGTTTCCTGTAAGCAACAGATATAGGGTTTCTGTTTCTTTATCCATTTAGCCAATCTTGATTGGAGAATTTAATCCATTCACATTCAATGTTATTATCGATGTTACTGGATTTGTCCCGATGTTTAAGTTGGCTGTTGTCTTGGTTGCCTTTTATTCCTTTATTTCTGGCTGTTCATTCTTTAGTTTTCTTGGAACAGTACTCTCTTCAGGGTTTCTTGAAGAGTTGGTCTGGTGTTGGCAAATTCTTTCAGGTTTTGTTTGTCTGGGAAGATTTTAATCTTTTTTTTTCCCCATATGAAGGATAATCTTGCTGGATATAATAATCTTGGTTGAAATTGTTTCTCTTTTAGCACTTTCAATACATCTTCCCATTCTTTCCTTGCTTGCATTGTTTCCATTGAGAGGTTCGATGTTAGCCTGATGGGGTGACCTTTGTAAGTCACTTGTTTCTCTCTTGCCAGTTTTGATATCTTGTCTTTATCTATGGTCTTTGCCAATCTGGCTAAGATGCACTTTGGGGAAGATCTTCTTGGGTTGATTCTAATTGGGGTCCTTTGTATTTCTTGGGTCTGGATGTTTGAGTGTCTCTCTAGACTTGGGAAATTTTCTGCCAAGATTTCATGGAATAGATTTTCCATGCCCTTAATGATTTCTTCACCTTCTGGAATACCCTTCACCTTCTGGGATACCAATTATTCGGATCTTTGGGCGTCTAATGGAATCTAGTATTTATCATATATTATTGTCATGGTTTTTTGTTATTTTCTCTATCTTTTTTTTTCTAGGTGAGAGGTTTTATCTTCTACGTCAGAGATTCGATCTTCAGCATATTCTAATCGACTTTTAATACTTTTGAGAGAGTTTTTGATTTCCTGTATTACAGACTTCATCTCTAATAGTTCCATCTGATTCTTTCTTAGAGTGTCCATTTAATTTTTCATATCAAGAAACTACTTCCTAATTTCCTGCAGTATGTTGTCTCTTTTCTGTTCCAACTCATAGAATTTTGCCACCATGAATGTTATAAATTATTTCTCTGACATTTTGGTAACATCTTCTGCTTTTTCAAGAGATGGAGGGGAGTTATTGTGTTCCTTTGATGGAGACATATTTCCTGATTTATTCAGACTGGAGGCTCTTTTTCTACTTCTAGCCATTGGGAGATGTATTCACTTTTCAATACCTTTTGGGAGAATGTTTCTTCAACTAGGAGCAAGTGTGTTTCCCTTCTACTGTGGACTGATGTGTGTCAAAGTCTCTCTTCTGTTGTGTTTAGCAATATGGTCTCTGGAGGAGTATTCTATTCAGGGATCTGAAGAGCAGTATCTCCTTGCTGAGGGAGTGGGCTATGAGATGGGGGAAGCTAGCTGGGGCTGGGGCTGGGGCTGGTGGTGGCCCTGCCTCAGAGTCCCTTGCTGGCCATGGGGCAGTAGATGGAACTGGGACCCCCTCCAAATCTTATGAGGGCCAACAAGAACCTTCTTCTTGCATGAGTTAAGGTCATCCAAGTTGTGGGACCAGCAGTTGGCGTAATGGCTATGTTGCTGAACTCCCATGTAGTCAACTGTGGTTCGAGTCCCAGACCTAGTGGCTTAAACTCACGCCGGGTGCATGTGCATGTGTGCCCAAGATCCTGAGAGGAGAATGGAGAAGAGATTGCAGTATGGCCAACCCCACTGGGAGGTTATTTCTTGCTTTCTGTCTCTCTCTCTGTCTTTCTGGCGAGTGCCAAGTTGGTCACCTCCTTTAAGCCAGTTGGAAAAGTGTATAAAATACTTTAAGATGGTCTCCTGAAAAGTCTAGCTTTCTGAAACATTTCCTTCAAGGTCTTGAAGATAATTTTCACCTGCAGCTCTTGTACCCATCAAGGCTCTCTGATATCAATGCCCTCCAGCTGAAGACCACCAAGAATATCTACAATTGAATAAGTCAAGTTTATTACTTGTAGCAAAATACACTCCATGGGAAGACATGAGGTATCTCAGTAAGAGGGAGTAAGAAAAGATTTATTACAGGATTTGGGATTTGGTTGGGTTACTTGGTAAAGGTTTAAGGAAGCATGGATTCACTCTAGATTGGGAGTTGTCAGAAACCTAAGTGACAATTCTATTATTGAATATCTCAGTAAATCTTATCTATAGGGAGGGGAGACTAGAGTGAGGATAAAGCTGTAATTGGAAAAAAAATGTCACTTACATTAGCCAGTTGTTAAGCATTTGGTGGGCTGCAGTGACCCTGTCTTTATCTGTGCTTAGATAATATTACTACATGGCCTTCTTTTGTCTTACTTTATCATGATCTAGGGGCACCTTGTCTGAAACTGGTAGTCTGGAGATTGTGTATGTCCAACAGAATAACATGGACTAGCTACGAGTGCCAGGCCAGCTTTACCTACACTGAGGCCTGGCTGTGAGCATCAGCCCTGTCCCCAGATATGAGAGGCTACTTTTTTCCTATCTTTTTTGACCAAGGGGAGATGACATCAAGATGCAGGGTGTGGGCCAGCAAATGGCATGGAGATTAAGGCACTGCATCCTACATGACCAACTGCATGGTTAGAATCTCAGACCTGGCAGCTTGAAAATCATACCAGGCATATGTGAATGTGTGCTCCAAATCCCAAGAGGAGAATGGAAAGGAAGGGATTGTGGCATGGCCATTTCCACTGGAAGGGGGGAGATGATTCTCACTTTCTCTCTCTCTCTCTCTCTCTCTCTCTCTCTCTCTGATGAGCACACATTCATGCCCCATAGCACATATACATACTAAACAATTATGCAAGATGTTACTCCATGATACCCATATTTTCTCCATTTCTGGTCAGGAGGTTGTTTGGAGAACTTCGTTAATACTCTGATTTGGCTTGCTGCAAGATGAGCTCTTATATTTTCTGATATGAAAATGGTTGTATGGTAAGAATATGAAATGACTCTGAGCAGACTGCATCAGCCAACTATAACACAAGAAATGATCATAAACATCCATCAGTTAACAAGTCTCAAAGTCAGAGGCCTAGATTATGAAACCAAGAAATGAAAACATGTCACGGAGTCCCACCAGACCTGTTTTAGACAACCAAGTAACTTTATTTTAGCCTAGTCATGAACTGTTCTGCTTTTCCTTGTAGTATAATATTTCTATAAGTGTAACAAGCAATAGTGCCTATAGCACAAACTCCTCCTTGGCTAGCCAAGAGAAAAACAAGGACTATGTAAGGCCATGACAACTCCAATTAATTTATACCAGTTTGGTGGGGCTTCCACAGCAGAATTGCATCATTAATTACTTCTATTTATGTTAGAATCAAGCCTCAGATCACCTTTTATTAATTTTTTTAGAGGTTTTTGCTATAGGGTGTGTGCACTCGCCAGAAAGACAGAGAGAGACAGAGAGATAGAAAGCAAGAAATCACCCCCCCCCCAAGAGGGATGGCCATGCCGCAATCCCTTCTCCTCCATTCTCCTCTCGGGATCTTGGGCATGCATGCACACACGCCAGGCGTGAGTTTAAGCCTCTGGGTCCAGGACTCGAACTGCGGTCGACTACATGGGAGTTCAGTGACATAGCCATTATGCTA